TACTTATAAATATATTTTATATTATATAAATATATGATTATAATATTATGATATATTATATATAAATATTTATTTTGTATCTATAAATTCTTCCTTTCTGAATGGGAAAAATTAAAGGCATGGCAGTCACAGGCTCCTGGGTGGTTCAGTCAGTTAAGTGTCTGCCTTTGTCTCAGAACATGATTCCAGGGTCCTAGGATCAAGTCCCATGTTGGGCTCCCTGCTCGTCAGGGAGTCTGCTTCTCCTTCTGCCCCTCCCCCCACACTTGTCAGCTCTCTCTCTCTCACACACAAAAACAAATAAATAAAACCTTTAATAAATAATAGATAAAATAAATAGATCAATAAATAAAATAGAAACATGGGAGTCACTCTTCCAAAGTAATTCTGAGGTCTCATGGGAATAGTTTATGTGGACTCCTTCCTTGAAGGTGTGGACGATTGATTAGGCCACAGTTCTGCTTTTTAGAATAACTTCTGAGGCACTGTTCTATATAGTCCTTGATTCCACCCTCTAGGAAGCATCCCCTTGTTCACTGTACTCTTTTGCCACATCAGAAGTAGACCCTTCTTCAAGAATAGGTTTCAAAGTTTACTCCTCAAGGAAATTTAGAAATCTAGGATTATTATCACTGCTTTCTTTTGTTTTGTTTTGTGGTTAATTCTAAACATTCAAAAGCTTTTAGGTATAGGCATGTGATTTCTTTGGTCATATATTTCTTACAGAATTTAGGAAATTATTTATTAATGTAATCTTATCTGACCTGACTGACTACTTACAGTCAATTTTTTATGTTAGTGAACACACCCAAAGTTCTTTGAAGGCATAACTCTCCAAAAGGCTTTAATACCTTGGTTTTTTGCCTCCATTTCTATATTTTTAGAGTCAGTGACAACCACGTAGAATCTCTCAAGGATAAGAGTTATGAAAGCACAGCCTAATGTAATCTTTTTCTTGAGTCACTTTATTTGATTGAGAAATTGCAATAGGCATATTTTGCTCACTGCTTTCTTTTTTTTTAATTAATTCTGTGTTTTAGTGGTGGGTTCTACAAGTAGATTTTCAACAGTAGAAAGATAGTAGGCATTGAATTTCTAGGTCCTCTCTACTCTCTTTCATTTCTTTTTTCCTACTGTCCGGTTCTTTCTCTAATCTCTAATCTCATCTCTTTCTTGTATCATATTAATGTTCTGATAATTGTAATGTCATTATATATATGTAAATGTTCTGATTATTTATAAGAATCTCTTCTAGAGCTACATGTGATTGGGTTCCCAAATATGACAGATGACATGTATGCCAATTTTTTTTCCCTATAAGATATTAATAACCACCATTCCAGCTGCTCATGATTTTTTCATCCCATATTTGGAATTTTAAGATATATTACTTTTTGTATTAGAGAGGATAAGGCAGGCTATGCTGTGATGGCACATATCCTCACAAAATATCACTAATTAAAAACAAAATATTTTTTTAAAGATCCGTTTATTTATTAGAGAGAGTGTGTGCATGCAGGGAGAGGGGCAGAGGGAGAGAGAGAATCTTTAAGCACACTCCCTCCTGAGCTCACAGTCTGACGCTGGGCTCAATCCCAGGACCCTGAGTTCATGACCTGAGCCAAAATCAAGAGTTGGACACTTAATTGACTGAACCACACCAGGCACTCCAAAATAAAATCAACTGCTTGCTCATGAAAAGTCTGAGAAAGGCAAGTGGATTTTAGGAGCAGCTCTTTTCCAAGAAGTAACCCTGAGCATCAAGTTCTTTCATCCTGTAGTTCTGCCATCACAGAACCCTTGCTTCATAGTGACACAAAAATGGAAATGAGGAAAGTGAGCCTAAAACACTGTGGGACATTTCAGGGACCAGGTTCCATGGTGGTTTCTGTTACTTTTATCCATACATCATCAACTAGGAAAGAGCTGGACCCATTATAACTTCAAGCCAGACTGGGAAAACCAGTCATCCTTTATGCTCAGGAAGGGAGAATGAAATTCATAAGCATCTAACCAATCACCACAATACAGAGCTCTCATTTCTCTCTATTTGCCAGTATATCTTCTCATGTTCTTTCAGTCTCATTCTTTGAGAGCTTATATTTTAGGAATTCTTCTTGTAAATATTACATAATTGAATTTTAAAAATCTCATCTTACAATCTCTGTCATTAAAATAGAAGGTTTAGTCTATTTACATTTAACATGATGATTTCTAAAATTTTTCTGTTTTCCCGAGGTTCCCCCTATTCTTTGCTTCTGGTTTTATTGTCTTAAGATCAAGTTTCCTTCATTTTTTTTCTATTGCTTTACTGATTTAGAAACTATATATTCTTTCTCTATTTTTAGTAAAGTTTCTATACTCTGACATGATTTCTTAAAATGTTCTAATCAAAAATATCTCTGTCAATTTTACAGTCCAGTGATTTAATTGTCCCTTATTTAAAAACTCACAAATTAGTAATTATTATCTCTATTTTACCATAAAATCCATACTTGGTTAGATAGATTTATCTAAGATAAATAAAGATTTATCAGTTTTCTTGTTTCTTTTCTTTTCTTTTGCTCAGCATTTCTTTTTGCATATTAATCTTTACTTTTATTATTAAGTTTTTTTTCCTGAAGTACATTTTTTAGAGGTTCTTTCTTTATTGGCTTGTTAATTCTGTAGTCTAAATTTTTGTTTGTCTCAATATGCATTCTAATTCACTCCTTTTACTGAATGATAGTTTACTTGTATGTAAATGACATAAGTAATGACTAAAAGATATTAAAGATAAATGGACAAGGTAACAGTGAACACAGAAAAGTCTAGGTAAACTTTGAAGTGTTACTTTCCTTAAATATTTTAAAATACAAGTTATTTTAGAGTTTATATGACTAAAATAATAGAATTATTTTTGAGTTTTTCTTTGGTAAATGTGATCTATCCAGAATGTCGTATCAAGAGTTAGACTCAAATACATGCTTTTTTTCTTTCTTAAGGTATTTGAAAAATATTACCAAAATATAAATGAAGCTTGTTTCTTATCCTGTCATCAGATCCTTAGCAAAGATATTCTATTAATTTTCTCTTCACATGTCCTTCAGACATTAAATTGTCATGCAACACAAAACATAAATGGCATCATATAGTAGGATAAACTCAGACTTTCAACAATGTGGTTTAGAATTAAGGGCTTGAATATTCCTTTTAGACTATAGCTCTGAATTATTAGTTATTAAAATTATTTTGTTATCTTATACCTTTTAGTTTTTCAAAGTCTTTATACATTCTAATAGATTCTGTTATTTTTTTCCTGACCCCCAAAACTGTATTTTCCTCATTTATAGAGCTTTCTTATTTAAGAAGCTCAAGGAATGGTCTAGCAGGCATGAAAACTGACAAAGCACATTTGTCAATGTCTGAAGAATTATCCCTCTCAAAGATGATCAAAGATGTCTAGCCTTGAAGAAAAACCTTGAGTCAGAATTATGCTAAGCTGAAATGATCGAAGTTTCATATCAAATTGTTTTTTCTCAATTCAGAAACATTTTTATGAGGCTATCCATCTTAAAGACAAATGCTAAGTCAAGATGATGTATTATTTCATTGCAAATTTCAGTATTGAAGAATATAAATTGATTTTAAGCAGACCAACAACCTAATAAATTCAGAGAAGATCTCCAACTTGACCTCTAAGTATGTAAAAAATAGACAGGTTAAGAAAATTAGGGAAACCTAAGGTCAAAGAGAATGTGAATGGTTTTATCTAGATGCTTTTTTTTTTTTGGTTTATCAACCATTTCAGAAGGAAACTGTATGTAGTATTAGTTCACAACCTAGCTTACTTAAATACATATTTAATGTGACCTATATACCCCAATATGAGCTGAGCAAATCAGTGTCTTGATGTTCATAAATATGACTCAGAGGAATATTAATTGAAACACATACATTGAATATTATTAAATATTATTGAAACGTGTGTTGAAAAATTGCTGTAAATTCATGAAATGTGTCACCATTAGGGTTAAGTCTAAGTTTTCTGAAAATTAACTTATATGGAATTCTTTCCCTTGATGCCCCATGATAACTGAGGCATTAATCTATAAGCTTTTTGTTTCTTCTTAATTTTATTCAGCCTATGAACACATTTTAAAGCTAGATTTTTCTACTTCCATAGTAATTTTATAGTCACAAAAACAAAAACAAACAAACAAACAAACACAACCAAAATAAAACCCTGAAGGTCAAATCAGACACAGGAAAAACACAACTACCCTACGCTGTTAAATTTGAGATACTGGTTGCCCTTGGGCAGGGAGAGGGAAAGGGTTTTGGAAGGGAACAGGATGTATGCTGGTAATGTCCTCTTTCTTATTGAGCTATATATTTATATGTGTACTTTTCTACATGTAAATTTGGCTTCAGTAAAAAAAGATTTTAAAAATCTGAAAGTCAATATTAGAGCCATCTACTAACCAGCTGGTGTGTAGAAACATAAAGGAGTACGATGCTGTTCTGTCCTCCAAGCTGTCTGAAATAGGAGTCCTGAGAGAGTTTTTGTGAAAGCCAAGGCATATCTATAAAATGCCTTTTAATCTTGACTTTGCTGCATTAATACAGCAACATTAAATATTATTTTTATCAGTCATGCAATGCACAAATAGAAGTAAAATGTCATTAAATCTCAATGCAAGTGAGCTGGAAAAAAACTGGCTTTGTTCAGAATTCTGCTATTTGAATTAAAGAACAATGTTCTTTCTCTGTAGTTATAAAAGAGCATTTGAATGAATGATCACTGAAGCTGAACAAGATCACATGCAAAGAAAAACACTCAATTAATGGCGGGATTCTAGGTCAGACTAGATCCTAGAATCCTTTCCTCATTCATTATCCTCATCTGTTGGGTTTCCAGGCAGAATCAGCAGATTTTCAGGGGCCATTATTTCGCATTTCATCCTCTGCTGCCCATGGCCCATTGGTAAGAGAAGACTTGTCATTGTGTCTCCTAACAGAGAGAAAAGAAGACCATTCCTGCTCAGCGAATGAGGAGATCCGGGCCAGAGGGCGTTGCTGCTGTGGACCATCCCCCACCATCCTTGTCTTCAGTTCTGAAGAATAACCCACTCTATGGTGACCTAAGTTTGGAGGAATCCATGGAAGAAAGAAAAAAGCATCCATCGTGGACGGTTGAGGAATATGACAGGCATTCCCTGCACACAAACCTTTCTGGGCATCTGAAGGTACTCAAACCAAAGAATCACTTCCTTCAATTGATGAAGAAGTTCTGTCAAATATTCCTTTAAAAAAAAACTTGAGTATTAAGGTGACAAGCACTCTTCACTAGACCCAGATCTCTAGAGTTGAGGTCCTTTGGGCTCCTGGCATCCCTTTCTCTCTCCTATGGATTTGTTCTTAGTTTTACTATGTCAGCAATTACTGGCATCTCTCTGGTGTAGAGAGAAAGAAATGATGTGACACAGAAAGATTTACCTAGAAGGTTAATGGTTTTTGAAAATTGATTTACCAGATTATGTATGTTTTCCCCTAGTTTTGTGACCATTTATTTCATGAAGACTCAAGAATTCCCTCACCTACATTGATTCAAAACTATTCGATGCTCTTAGGCATGGGGCAAAGCAGTTCTCATCAAGGGTCATGGTATTCCAAGCCCACTCAGTGATTTAAGATTACAGATTTACATTTTGGACGCTTTCCTGTGTCTCAGTAACAAAACAAAACAAAAACATTTCAACACAGGAAAAGTATGCAATGAACTCATTCACCCAGCTTAAACCCAACTTCAGTTTTTCTTTGTTTTCTTTTTTTCCCCCTGGTGTCATCTATCACATAGAAGATCTAGAAATACCTGCAAAGCAAGGAGAATGGTCCTCTGTTTTCTGAGTGGACCAGATTCCTCCCCAGCTTTGGCTGGCCTCTGCCTGCCCTGAGGTCAGGGAGGCCTGACTTTTTCCACATACACTTTATTTAAGGTGTATCTGCTCTGAGTCCCATACATTAAGCACCTGAAGAGTTTTTTTCTGTCGCGAGGGAGACAATATTGTGTCCCCTTAAAATCTGATACTTTTAAATATCCCGAATGTGCACTCTTGAAATATCTTGTCCAGAGTCTTTGAGGCTTTTTAATCTTCTAGTAGATTGAACATATCTCCTCCTTAATGTAGCCTCTTTTCCAAAGAAGTTTCCATAACAGATGCTCCCCCATAGCAACAGTAATCTTGTGGGGGTTTTTTTGTTTTGTTTTGTTTTGTTCTTATCACGAGTCTGAAGGTCAGGTCCTCTAAGAAATTAGGGTTTTTTTTTTCTTTTTCTTTCTTTTTTTTAATTGTTTTTATTTTAATTCCAATGTGGTTAAAATACAGTGTTGTATTAGTTTCAGGTGCACAATATAGTGATTCAACAATTCACCCAGGGCTCATCATGAAAAGTGTGCTCCTTAATCTCTATCTGGCTTTCACATTCCCCAGCCCCCTTCCCTCTGTTTTCTCTATAGTTAGTTAAGAGTCTGTTTCTTGGCTTCTCTCTCTCTCTCTCTCCCTCTCGTTCTTTCTCTCTCTCTTTCCTTTGCTCATTTGCTTTCTTTCCTTTGCTCATTTCCACATGAGTGGAATCATATGGTATTTGTCTTTCTCTGACTTATTTTGCTTAGCATTAAATTACTCTCTAGCTCCATCCATGTCTTTGCCAATGGCAAGATTTCATTTCTTTTTATGGCTGAATAATATCTCATTATATATCACATCTTTATCCATTCATCTTTTGATGGACACTTAGGCTGCTTAAAAAGTCACTTTCTACAATTAGGAAAGCATGTATTGTTCTATTTCACAAATATTTCTTAACCATGTGACAGAGGCTCGTCTCTACTCTTTTATTGTTTACCTGAATGGCAAAAGGGTTATGAAGATGACTGTCTTCATTACTGTCCCTGCATCAAAAAGTTCATCTAACTGACCAGAGTAACAAAACCATAATTATAGAGCAAAATAAAAGAAGAGGATAAGGTTGTAATAATAATAGAAAGGGCTATGCAGACTTAAAAGGAGGACAAAATCACACTGGATTATAAAAAGACATCACGAAAAAAGTTAATTTAGGCTGGCCTGGAAGGATGCATAGAATTCCAAAAGATATGGATGGTTGGCATGAGCGGGGAGGCTCTTCCGTCTGGAGTAGCGAGAAAAAAAGCACAAATTCCAGAAAGTAAGATTGTCAGAACAGTAAATAGTGCGGTGTCGTTGTCACTACAATTTAACTAATAGAATAACAGGAAAATAAGGCTCAAAAACACTTAAAAAGTGTTTGGATGTAGGCTAAGGAGATTGAACATCATTGGCAATGAGTAATATTTCTGTTGGCAAATTCCATGAGCTCTGTTGCAGAAGAGCAAATATAGATATGATGGATGCATTGCTTCACTGAACCTGGGGACTGTCCCCTCCCCACCCATCTGCCACACATAGAGTTTCTCTCAAAGCCTTTGCAGACCTCACGAACACTCTTTTGAGGGATGCTTCTGAAAGTCATAGCTTTAGTTTTCATTAGAATTTCTTTCTAGACTTCATAAATTCAACTTCTTTCCTCACCATTCCTGTGCATCTCATAACCAGCAGACAGAGCCCCTAACTTATTTTCCGAAACTTTTTCACCTCTTATGGGCTGTAAAACCTCCAAGTGCCTTTAGCCAATACCATTTTTCTAAATTATAAATAAGAAAGGAGAAAAGAAGCCCCACATTTAGCTACCAGGGCTAATTAGGAGCAGAATGTAAGAGGAGTCTGGAATTACGGAAGTTCTTCCTAAGGATTGTAGGCATTAGACTTGACTTTGATGAGGACACAAAGTATGTGAAGGATACAAGTCAAGCAGACAGGGATTGCAAGATTATCTATCCTTCTGCATAGCCCATCCAAATTTTATTTCACTAGCTTTTTAAGACCAGGAAGTTGAAATGGTAGCAGCACGGTGGAGGAATTGTTTTGCCACCACCAGCATTTGCCCAGCTCCCTGTGTGTGTGCCCGTTTTGCACCTAGCAGGGTGCTACTGACCCCCAAAGCTGGCTTAAAGTTCACTGAGACTAGAGAGGGAGAGAGAGGGCGGGCACCTCAGCTGCAAGCCGTTGCTGATGAAAAATCAGCAGTTCTGCAGTGTCAGTAAATCTGTAACACTGGTTGCTGATTGATCCTATTCTCCTACGTAATTTTTGTTTTCTTTTTAGGAAAATCCTAATGACCTGCGGTTTTGGTTGGGAGACATGTACACGCCTGGTTTTGATACCTTATTGAAAAAGGAAGAGGAACAAGAAAAGCATTCAAAATACTGTCGTATAGGTCTGATTTTGCTCCTTGTTGCCTGCATCTTGGTTTTCATAGTGACTGTTTGCACATTTTTCACCTAAAGAAAACTGACGCAGATACAGTGGCTTGAAATTTCTTAAAAATCTTTCGAAATAAACATTTGCAGAAAAACACGCTCACGTGGTATGAATGTACTGTGGAATGTTCAGCTAAGTGTCATTGTTTTGCAGAAGGCAAATGTTACCTGAGATATGCTGGCTTTCTCTGTTTTGTTCTAGAAACCTTGGTAGGAATTCTGGGGTGACCAGGAATTCGGGATCAAAATCAAAGAAAAGCCGCTATAACAACCAAAATGAAACACAGGATAGAGAACAAAACAGCACCAACAATTGTCGGCTGACCTCTGTGCCCTGTCCCTCCCGCCATCGTCCCTAAGAAAGTTGAGCAAAGCATTTTTTTGCCTGCCCCAGGTGTGCAGATGAAAACTGGTTGTGCTGACTGTTGGGTTGAGTTCATGCTGTTTTATCTGCTCTTATTCCGATTTAAGCCAGGAAAGGTGTGTTGGGGGCTTTATTCAAACCGATTCTCATTTTCTCAGGATTGCTTTATAAATGCCTCCGTTTGATGTAGCAATTTCAGTACACCTAAACTGGAACGGGCCCTCGTTCTATAATTAATTACATTTACAGCCAGTTGGGCTTACTGATTGATCCACGTTGGCTAGTGTGAGCCCTGGTGGCTCTCAGGAAGTATGTATCACCACCCATATGGTCTCAGAAAAGGCCCTATAAAAGCACAGGAAAAACAGCTAAGGGAGTAGCATCTGAATCCTAACTGTGTCTTTTGTTAACTGTTGGACCCTGAGCAAGTTACTGTTTCTGAGAAAGGATAGAATCAGCTCCCTGGTAGGACTCGTCTAAAGGCTAAGTAAGAGACAGGTAAGAACAACACAGGGCTCCTAGTACACGGTTGCCTAGATGAGGATGGTTCTTGCTACAAATATGTGCTAAGCTTATTGGCACCCTGAGGCCACCTGCCATTGCCTGCCGCGATAGCTGGGGATGTGATGTTGGTCACAGATGGAGAATCAAGTCACCTGCCTTCTCTTTGCTCTAGAACACCGGACCCTGACTCCCCCATCCCCCAGACAGTTTAGTGCATAAAGTGGAAAAGGAACTTCCTCCTCTTCCCATTAATCAGCCTTTGGGATTACCGCATCATTCTACCTCTCTTAAAGATAACTTGAAAAAAAGAACACGGAAGTGCAGCTTTACAATACAAGAAATTCATCGTGCACAATTGTCTTAGCCATATTTGTAGAGCTTAACTTCTTGTTCCTCCTCTCATCTGTAATAGGTTTTAGCCCAATATAGAACTGAATTAAGGAGAGATGAAGGTCCTGGGGACTCCTGAGGGCAGACCCACTCATTGTGGATGCCTGGCAGACAACCGCTTGGTATTAACTCTGTTTTCAAAGCTTGAGTGCCCAGCATTTGCCTCTAAGGGATTCAAACTATACTCAGGTCCCTGCTCCTCATGGAAATCATTTGTGCTGCACCAGGTTACACCCAGCTGTCTGGGGCCACATACAGGTAAGACTCTGTAAGGGCACTCACTCCACGGGGACAACCACATAAGTGTGCCAATCTGCCCCCCTCATCTCCTGGTGCCCTGTCCCCCACCTCCTTACCTTTCTCTTCTGCCTAGTCAAGCACCTGGGAACCCCCTGTTCTCTCCAGTCCTCCTCTGCTCTCTTCCATGATGCTAACACTCATTTATGTTTCAGCATGAATGTGTTTATTACTTCGCTATTGCTCCCAAACCAATCTTCACTTTTCGCCTTCAGTCTAACTGTAGGATCAAAATATATTATTATCCCTCATTGGATTAATGTTATACATCTACACGAAAGGGAAAGTCATAAGCTGAGTGAATACATCCCCGTGTGCACTCAAAATCATACTGTGAAAGCCTTTCCAACCTCTCCTTCAGTATGGGTTTTGAAAATGGCTCTAGCAGAAAAAGCACAATAAGGTCATGGAAAATACGGAGGTGATGGCCCTAAAGAGGCTCAGGTTCAAATCTGGGCTTTTGAAAAAAAGCTCTGATCCAGATTCAGTGAATCAATGTTTTTAAAGTATTTAAATACAATCCTTGGCACACAATAGGTAGCCAATAAATGATATATATTATTATCTTCAAAAAAGTGACTCTTTTAATCACTGATTTTTTTCTAAATTGGGGTAAGAAAGTCTGGGCTCCGCTAATTCTTTAACAATAATGATGTCAAAGCATATTCTTTCCCAGGCTCTTTCAAAGGTGCAGCGCCCAAAAAGTTTTGTTCTGTTGTTTTGTTTTGTTTTGTTTTGTTTTGTTGTGCTTTGTTTTGCTTTTGGATATTAGGTAAGTGTGTTGGAGCCGTAAAAGCAAAGAGTCTGGTAATTTCCTAGAGAAAAACATTCCAAAGGTGGATACTTTTTTAAAGTGCTGCTCGCAGATTTAAGAGAATTGAAATTGTTTTTTACATAACCCATTAATGGCTATTCCAATTATATCCATGTTGCTGCCACCTAGTGGAGAGTTCAGTGGGTGGAAAATAAAGAAAAAGTGCCCGTGGCCGTTCTTTTTATACAGAGTTTTTTATACAGATGCTCTCCTGCCATCTGGTGGTGAAGTTTACCGCCTGCCGTTAGCCTCTGAAAATGCATTCTACCCGAGATGCTTTTCAGGTGAGGGGCTGACAGCTGCTGTGATTAGAATGAGTGTGGTCACGTGGCCAGAGCTCCTGCCTCCCTTCTTGGAACCACTAATTTTCGTTCCTGCTCATCTTGCAAGAAGAGAGATATGGCTGCCCCGGAGTCATTCTCCTGAAGGCAGAGCTGGGACCCTGGACATAAACCCCTGACTACTTACTACACAAAGTAGGGTGAAGCCAAAACTAGTGGTATTCTTGGAGATTGCTCCATTCCCAGCCTCCAACTGGTTAAATTTTTCGGAATATTAAATCTTCTACCGTGGTGTGGGCTAAGGTACGGTCTGAATTTCTACACTTTTAGCTCTCAGTGCCTTTAAATATTTTTTAATTCCCCTTTTTTCCTATACCTATTGTTTATTAGTAGTTTTTAAATTCTCCCCTCATGTAACTGAAGAGGTAGGTTTATCAGCTATGAAAAAGAATGTCAAAACTGTAATTAGAGAGGGCCATTAAATATCAAGCTGTCTGGATTTCTACTTACACATGCACAGAGTCTCACAGACTGTAGAGGAAAGATAACTTTGCTGGTTCCTTCCAAAAAATCACTTAGTCCAGGCTCTTGCCCAACTTGAGGTGAGAATATTCAACCGAAGTGAGCAATTTCAGAAACTGAACACAGCTTTCTGCCAGGGCGGTTGTTCTGCTCTCATTTTATGAACACCATGACTCACGGACCTGATCAAATTTCCTTCTTTGTGCGGCCTGCTGGAAAAATTCAGGAGCAAATTGGGCCCTCTCTCCTAGGAAGTGGGCAGGACTTCTTCCTGTGCTGTCCTGATTTGTGCCTCTACCTTAGAATCTCTCCTTTGCCTCACCCTCCCCTCCACCTCAACTATGTGGTATCTCCCCGTGCTTTTTTTTTTTTCCTCAGTGCCTTAGACATACTGGAAAGATATAGAGTAGGTAGACAGTTCTGTGTGTTTATTATGTGTATATAAAAACCAAAGATGAAAGTCTCTCTTTCAAAAGAAAAATTTGAAATTAAAAATATATTTTAAATAAGGAAATTAGTGGTTTCGGTATAAAATGTTCCTGATGAGGTTTCTTTAGCCAGAAGAAATGAGATTCAAGACTCCCACAGTTTTACTTACACTATACTTACTGTTTTCAAGTTCCTGACAAAGAAAAGAAAGAAGGCATTCTTCTTTTTTTTTTTTTTAAGATTTTATTTATTTATTTGACAGAGAGAGACATAGCGAGAGAGGGAACACTAGCAGGGGGAGTGGGAGAAGGAGAAGCAGGCTTCCCACTGAGCAGGGAGCCCATGGGGGTTGATCCTAGGACCCTGGGACCATGACCTGAGCCAAAGGCAGCCACTTAACAGCTGAGCCACCCAGGAGCCCCAAATTCTTCTGATGTTAATTAAACTTACTAATTTGTTTCCAGATTATGAAAAAAATGCTAAAATCCCTCACGTTGGAATTCACATCAAGTGTGGTGAAACGTTGTTTGGATTATTAATTGAATAATAAAACAAGGACGAGGCTAGATTTAAAAATTTATCAGTCGGTTTAAATGAAATGGGAATTAACGAAACTTTCTAAACATATGTTTAGAGGTTAAAACATTTATAGTCAACACTTAAGAGAATAATGTCACTCTACCTCTTGCCATGGTTTTGTGTTTCAATATAATGATCCCAAGACTTTTTCATGAATTCTAAACTTAGCTCTTCAAAAAAGCTTTCTTTTTATTTTTTTCCTCAAGTTCTCATTTAAATTCCAGTCAGTCATCATGCAGTGTAGTATTAGTTTCAGGTGTAGAATCCAATGATTCATCCCTTCCATGCAACGCCCAGTGCTCGTCACAACAAGGGCCTTCCTGTTACCCATCACCCACTGAACCCATGCCCCCGCCCACATCTCCTCTGGTAACCATTGGTAACCATTGGTTCTCTGGAGGTTAAGAGTCTGCTTTATGATTTGCCCCCTTTATGATGCGTATTGTCATCAATACCTAAATACACAACTGTAGAGCCATTTTTTGAGTTAGATTTCCAGTGGCTACCCATGGACAGCAAGTCTCTCTCCCATCCCCTACCTGCCATGTACACACACCTGACCTGTCCATCTGGCCCTCATTTGAGCTGCCTTGGGTCAATAGGAACACAACAGACATAATCATACTTCCGACATTTCAACATTTCGAAACCCTCCCACTTCTACAACCCCATTCCATCTCAGCTACAATCTTAGGAAAGAAGCATTAAAACCTGCGATGTACAAGAGAAGAGACTGAGGCACAGAGCCGTCAAAAGATGTGTCAGAACAGAAACTGAAGGGAGAACCTCAGTGATCTAAACCTATTCTGGATATTTTTTCCAGCCTTGTTTTTATTTTCTCATAA